CAGGCTTGTGGCTCTGTACGTGGCAGATGTTAACAGCTACGGGCCTGTACCCCCACTCCAGGTGAGCTCTGTTTCAAAATGCAAGCAGTGTCTCCTGGATTAAGAAATTAACAGATTTATAGTTTACGAGAGTGTGAGGTTAACATCAGTAGGATGCCTCCAGCGTGTGTCATTAGGGTTGACAACTTTCCTGAAGCAGTTATTTTCCTCTGCAGGCTATTGGGGAGTCACCTCTTAATTTGCAGCATGTTATGCTACATGCTGGTAAGTTAGCTGGTAAGACTGATCTAAAACTGTTCAGGTTCATCTTCTTCAGAGTAGTCGCCTTCAAGGGACTTGAAGTAGAGGTTATCACGCTCTGGCCTGTCAGTCTGCGCCCACGTGCTGGTGCTGGTGCCTAAACTGGGCCGCAACAGAGGAGAGTGGGAGGGAGCATGAGAAATCAGTTAGTCTGCTGCCAAGGCAGGGCTAGGTGCCTCCAAGCTAGTCCTGACAGGCAGCTGTCTCACCTATTTTTAGCAATTTGCTAGTGATGGAGAGAGCAGTGATGGAATAAATCCTCCCCAGCAGCTGATTCCAGTGTTCCCCTGTCCTTAACATGAAGCACTTTCTGTGTATATATACATATGTATGCACAGGCTGCTTCTTTCCCCAGTGTATAAGTCTCTACGCTTACAATGTCCTTAAGCATGTCCTGTGTCTTGTCCTGTCCTTGCTGGACCAAGAGAACAATACTGCAGCATCTATTTTATCTATATTACAGTTGTCTCACCTCCCTCTTTTTCGTCTTTTTTATAGCAACCTGATTTATTTAGGTTAGGTTTTCCCACAGTGTGCTCTGGACTGTTAACTATTTCTGCTGCTCCCTGTTGGATGTTCTCTGGTTGGTCCAGCTCTTCCTTGGAGTGCACTGTCAGTAGCTGAAGGTGGTTTCTGCAGGGATGTTCCTGCTGCTGGCTGGGGTGAAAGGAAGGGCATGCATATCTCCCAGACTATGCTGCTGTCTCCTTATATTCTTGGACCTATTTTAGGCTATGGCTGGCATCCAGAGCTGCCTCCTCAATCTAATTGTTCATGTTCATCTCTGGAATCTGTCTTAACTTCAGTGTGTTCGTTGCAGTTCTTGCCACAAATTCATTGTGCTAATTTACTTCAGTGTCAAGTACCATGAAAGATGAGGAAGGAAGCAAAGTAGTAAAAAGTCCTGTGAAAGGGGTGACATCCTGAAAAATTGGGCTGTGGATCTTCATCGTTTCTGGCTAATTTCTTATTAAAATTTGAACTAACTAAATTAGTCACTGAATATGGTTGAGCTGAGGGTGAGACAGATCTCCTCACTTAAAGTACTCCCCATTCCTGGAGGTTGCCTGTTTTTATGGATGTTGTGTCCAAGCTTGCTTTTGCACTTCAATATGAAAGCCTGAAGTTGTATGTGGCTTTTAAACCTCAATTGGATGTCTCCAGATGTTTACTTACAGGGAGAGTAGCAACTCTGTTCAACTGAAGAACACATCTGTCAGGCAGGATTCATCTCTCCTGCTTCTTCTTTGGTGGTGAGGTCTTTGACTCCTGGGTGCCCAATTTCTTGTTAGATCTACATTTCCTTCTGAGACTAAATAGCATCTGATAGCTAAGTACTTTTCTACTGCCTTTGGGATTAGAATAACTGAGCACTGTTATCTCTGGCGCAAAGCTTTGCTATTTTAGCACACTGTTGTGCTTCTCTCTCAAAGAAGAAAAACACTTCAAAGTGAGGGACTGATTTCTCTGACTGGAAGCTCTGCAACTCGAGAGTATCATGCCAATGCCTGGTGTGATCCTTCGTGGATGTTATATATATCCTATGGCTGCATGCGTTTGGCTGTCTCAAAGAATGATTTGCTCAGTGAGAATTTAGTTTTGAGTAGTCCTCTGGTAGCTAGGTGGTTTTCTTTGGGGATGAGGAACCTAATCTTACACTTGATTGTTGGCTTTCTACAGGGACTAAAACAAGAGATTGCTAAGTGGTGGAAATAAGGTCTTTGCCTCAAAGTCAATTCACAGGAGGGAAAAAAAACCTGAAGAGACCAGGAGGGTTGAAGCATGGCAGCTAGGATGCGGTGCAGGCATGCTCCGTGGAGAGAGGCTGGCAGATAGTCTTGGCACACAGTAAAGGGAGTCTTTGTATTTTCATTTCTCTTTTGTGCAGAAGCTGTGGCAACAGGCATGCCGTTGGAGAGTCATTCTCGTCAAAAAAGGAGGTGGAGAGTTGACTGGCTGATGGGGCCTGGATGGGCAGATATTTCTGCTGCTGTGGGGTTCTTCCAGCTGTACTCTGACATCTGTATTGAAAGACAGCATGGAAGTTGTAGGCATTGTAAGCCAAGAATTTCAACAAAGGATGGTTGTGCAGGACGTGAAATAGAGAGTAATAGGTGTACACAGAGAGCGGATCCCTCAATGGTTAATTCAGTGAGTAGGTTGGACCATGGCCTGAAGGTGAGGAATAGCAGGTACTGTTTAAAACCTTGCTTCAGAAGTAGACTACAAGTTCTACTTTTATTCTCATAGCTCATTTTGCTTGTATCAGGGATGATGATGCAGAGCAGAGTTGATTACCTGGATAAACTAGGGGGGGGAGAAAGCCAACTGTATTCAAACAGCCTACGTCTGTATTGCTGTAGCCAACTGGCTTGACAGCGTGATGGATTGAAGGAATGTGTAGGATTTGGTCAAAATGTTTCATTTTTGAATTCTGTCTATCACTTCCCTGGTTTGCTAGCTGTCAGTCAAGCATTACAGGAGCAAATCTTCACTGATACAGCTATTCTCTGGCACGTTTCATACCGAATAGCTCAGCTGTGTAAATAAGCAATCAATTTGCTACTGCTTTTCTGTCCCCAGGACCTTTTTCCCTAGAGATTCTCTTGGAGCTACTTAAGACTGGTGTCCTGCCTACACAAGGGCTTTCCTTTCAGCAGTGCTAATGTAGCCTCAGCTGGCAACAGCTTATTCTAGCAAACTGTGTATCAGCCAAAACCACAGCTTTGCAAGGATGTGCCAGTGCTGATTAAACTTTCAGGAAAGGCTTCAGGAGAGGTGCCAGCGTGGACTTCATGCTCCAAGAGAGCAGATCAGCTGCCTGGCTCTTCTGGGGAAACAATTTCCCTATCTTAAGATGCTCCAGGTTTGGATCTTGTAAGGTTTGGTTCACCATAAGTCTTAAGGATGGTGGTTTGCTGTAAGACTTAAGAAAATATATTGGCAGATAAAGGCTTGGAACCTTTTCAGAAAGGAAAGGCTGGTATGTTAGACTCCATTTTGTGTGAAAAGGCTTGTTGAGTGCTGTTCTTCAGCTGTGCTTGTTATTAAATCAAACATTTGTGATGAAGTTGTATTCTGTCCCAGCATGGACTGGAAACCTCTGAACTACTCTAACCCAGCCATAGTTCTGTGGGTTATTGCATTTCAAAGCAATGTTGGTAACTTTGTGCTAGTTTAGCATAATAGTTTTTTGCTTCCTATCAGTACTGTGGAAGGATTTGAATTCTTTAGCCCTTTCCTGTTTATCCTGTATGGTGACTGTTAGTGAATTATTGGAGGTTGGTAAGGAGTGAGTTGTCGTTTATTTTGGTAGCATGTAAATGAACTGAAGAAGCACATACTCTCATTTCTTCTCTTTGGAAGATGAAGCAGTGAGATTGCTGCAAAGCTGTGTATGGCTGGGGAGACAGGCACAGACTCCTCTCTGTTAATTTTACTTAGCACATCTGTGTTTTCCAGGAAACTGGTAGGATGAAATATGCGTAGCCTTTTGCTTAGAGCTTGTGAGACTTCAAAAATCTTGGTTTGTTTTTGTTTTTCTCCCAAGGCAGCCTTTCTTGAATAAACTCGCACAGCTGTAAATGACCATGTTCACAGTTACAGGGAGTGCCAAAGTGCCAGCTTTCATCTGAAGGCTGCTGGCTAACGAGCGGCACCTAACTGTGTACGAGCCCCGTACCCTGTGATTAGTCCAAAATAAATCACTAAGAATGCAAAGTAAAGGCAGCTTCACTTAAGTTACAAGCAGGCTAGGATGTTTTCCTGAGCTGTCTGGGTCCTTTAGAAAGAGAAATAATTTTGTCAGACTGTTGGCTTTGTTGCTTGTGACATGTTAATGTATCCTTAGGGATTATAATTTCACTGATATTGGTGTGGTCTGAGCTCTGTCTGCTTATAAACCCCTTTACAAGTAAAGCATAGGAAAGCCATAGCATTGTTTGGCTTATGGATTTATCCTGCTTTTTATTTAACCACCCTATTGCCAATTGCAATTCTGCAAGTTGCTCATGGCTGAGACTGAGCAATTTTGAGTGTTGAGTGTTGGTCTACAAACAGAGTTGCTGAAGATCTTTGTATTTGAAGAGCAAGGGACAGGGGTCCTTTCCTCTGCCAGAGTTATATTTCTAGCTTGAGGATAAACAACTCCAGTTTTTGTTGTCACAAATCCTGCAGCACTGGAGTTTTGAAGAGCCATTGGCAGAAGAGGGAAATAAAACAACCTGTCACCTGCTTGAGGTAGAAAATAAATCAGTTGAGCTGAAACAAAGAGGCTATTCTTTCTGAATCCTGCAGTTCTGGTGGTAAAACACGTTTCTATCGCTTTTATATAAATCTTTTTTGATGGAACGGAGTGGAATTTAGCACTAGAGGAGGTATGGTGTGCCCTTCCCAGTCTTTTTTGCATGTGTAGTTTTGGGGAGAGGGTACAATAATTCAAGAAGTGATTTTCTCTGATGTTCTTGGACTGGGAAAACTTATTGTGATTATTTGTTTGGATTTTGGGGTGCGGGATGGAAGTTTGATCACAGCAGGGAAAAGCACACAATATTCCAAGGAGACTGATCACTTTGCTTTTGCAGTCCTCTACACTGGACTGTAAGAAGTGTTTAATTCAGGGAGAGCTTTGCAGGGCCGTGTTTATAGCCTTAGCATCCCTCTCAATTTCCTAAACTGGTGTTTTCTTTTCCCTTCTACAGGGCCTACGCAGAAGACTCGTCCTCTGTAAAACATGACCCAAGCGCAAAGCCAAGCGAGAAGTTGAAGCACAAGGAGGAGGAGGAGAGCAGCGGCAGTGAGGGTGGAAAGGCTGTTGCATCCGGTGATGAGGAGGCTCAGCCAGAAGGGAAGAAGAAGAAGCGTTCTGGGTTCAGGGACCGTAAGGTACCAAACTTGGGTGTGTTACACCTGCAGCTGTTGCACTGCAGTGGGAAAAGGGAGAAAACTTGTGGAACACTTTATTCAGATTGTGGTACAGTGCATCTATAGAGTCTTGGCTTTTGCTCTGTACTTGTCTTTATTTTCTGAGGGACATTACTGTTTTGACAACCTGCTTTCTTGGCATGCTACGTAGAGTTTCTTTAGGTTGAAACTTGTTTACCTGGAAAGCACGGTACACTGATCCTCTGAAATGGACACCTCTTTTGCCATCTCCAGTTGGATGTCTGAGAAGTGGCTCGCTGAGAAATCAAGGTTCCTGCCTTGATGGCTGTTACAATGGTGCAAGCAAAGTAGGGAATCGGTGCAAAAACTTTGAAACCATCTGGGGCATCCAGCACATGTGTGTCTGAGTCCATCCATTTGCCTGTGACCGTACATAGTGTATGTACGAAGTGGTAGAGGATGAGGGTGGAGGAAAGGTATAGGAAAGGCATACTTTCATTTTTCCTTTAATTGTTCCATGTAAACATAGTTGTTGAAATGCAGCCTCACTCCCTACTCACACTCAGTTGTCTGTCTCTCAGTGCTCATGCCTATTTGATTTTCATATCAGACACATTTTCAAGAGGAGGAAAGCTTGAGTAATGAACTATATTGTCAGCTTGTGACCTGCCTTGACTGTTGGGCAATCCTGAGAGATTTGGGCTCCTCAGAGCTGTCTGACAACTAGTTTAGTACTATCTGTAACCACTGTTATTGCAAGATGTATGATTTGGTCTGATGGAGAGTGCTGTAACCGAGAGTTGGCAGACAGCAGTATTTTATTTTTTAAACCTGTCTGGTTTTCGGTTTTATTGGGCTGTGTTTGATGATTTAATATCTTTGCAGTGCCAGAGAGGAGAGCGGGGGTATATGCTCTTCACAGTTACTTTCTGTATGATTTGCTTCTGATAATTATATTTAACTCTGTATCCTGGAGGCTGCATCTCATTAACTGTTAAATTGTGGATGGTCGTATATAGTGGCTTAACAGCTTTTCATAAAAAATTAAGAGCTGTTTTGTTTGAAGTTGCTGAATCATGTTCTATTCTTGGGTAGATTACACAAGTTGAAATTTCAAGTGACTTGTGGTATTTGAGACTCGAAACTTTCCCTGTTGTGACATGCTGGTGGTAGGTCAGTGAAGTTACGTTGTAAGATACTAATGCAGAGATATTTAGACTTGTCCAGGAATATGAATTCTTGGCTTCTGCTAATTTTCGTGGCAACTGGGTGTCAGGTACTGTGACAGCCTCAGCAAAACTTCGACTCTTGCCAGTACCACTCAAGAAAAGAAGGTTATTTTTTCCAGTGTCAGCAGATGGAGGCAGGTTGCAAAGAGCAAAGAAATGATCCACCTTCATCCACACTCTTATTTTTAAAAAAGAAAATTTCTTGATAAAACAAATGTAATGATTGATTTTTGTCTTATGTGACTGATTGCTTCTGGCTAGGGAAAGTTTGTTTGCAAGTGAGGACTTTTATTCCAGTTGTTAGGAGACATACTGACGTTGACCAGTTCTTTCCTTCCCATACTAGGCAGGGAGGAAAGTGGCAACACTTTCCAAATAAGACTTGAGCCAGGCATGGGGAGTGCCAAAGACGTCTGGTGGGAATGATGTGCAGCCTGAATCCCTTCTCCTTCCACAGTCTTCCTTTCTCCTACAGTGCTTGACTCAGCAACAGCAATTTCAGCTGTGAGAGCACAGTTTAAAGCAGATGTCATTATCTTTTTTTTTTTTTTCAACGTAAACTTTTTCTCTCCAGCTTTAAGACCAAATGTACCTTCTTTGACCCAAAAGCTGGTGTTGCTTTTGCTTTATTTAATGAAGGGTGTAACCAGTGGTCTCCCAGGTGCTGGGCTCCATGTTTATGTTTGAGTGGCTCTGTTGTGGGCCCGGTGTTTGATCAGGAGTTGCCCTAGTGAGTCATCTCAGGAGGTATGTTTGAATGTTTCCAGCTCAGATGGCAGAGGAGGGTGTGCCCTGGCTCCCGACTCAAAATCAGTGATGCTCCCAGGATGTGCTGCTTCCCTAATGAGTTATATAGCAGCGAGGGTATTCCTGACTCTTCTATATTTTTTTAAAAACAAACACACACCACCACCCACAGTAAAAACCCTTTGCAACTCTTCCCATAATTAGTTGAAAATAGTGTGGAGTTTTCCTTGAGAAAAAAATTAAGCTTAATTGAAAGTGTTTAACACTTGTTTGTTATCCCAATGTTGCTTTTAATGAAGTTGCTGATTAGTGGTGAAATAATAAATTAGGCTTGACATTGCTATTTTGGGTAGTGATTCAGTGAAGAGGAAGTTGAAATATAAATCACTTGGCATCTGCTGGGGCTGGTGCCGGGATCACGTGTGGATGGTTCCCAGGCATGTGTTGTCTTGCAGGCTGTGCAATGTATAGGTCCTGACTGTGTAAGGTGGAGAAGACTGTTTGAGTGCTTCTATAATTTGAAGGCTAATGAGTGGTAATAAGTGATGTGGGTGGGCTGATGTGTTAAGTAACTTGCTAAAAGTGTTTGCATGCAGCTTTAGGACTGCCTTGTCAAGATCTGATTGCAGTGTTTGCTGGATCATGCAGGTATGCTGCCTTGGGACTCTTAGTTGTGCTAAGACTTCATTTTAGTGTGCATTATAGTAGGAAACCCCCCAAAAATGAATCCTAATTGATTTACCCTTCTAAGATGTGTGTAATAGAGCGGGATTGCCAGAGTTATCATTCTGCTGCACGGCTGGGGAGGCCCCAGTGATGCTCTGGAAGTGAATGGAGATGATAATTTAGAGCTTTATTTTCATGTCTGCACAGGATTTATTTTTTTTCCTTCTAATGTGAGGCTTAGAATGAACATTGACTGTCCCAACAGCAGCTTCGCTCTTGTAGAGCAACAGGGATTACTTGCTCATCTTTCTCCTCTGGTACCTACTCTATTAATAAATGCCAAAAAGGGACTTTTCCATTTTGGTCACATAATCTTTCTGGAGGCCCCTGGTTACATGAGGCTGCAATTCTAGGGGCAGGATGAGAATTTTTGGCTGGTCTCCACTGTATCAAGGACTGTTGCACACTGCGGGAAGGCAGCTGCCTGGGTGCGCGCTTTGCCAGGGAAGTGTTTTGGAGTATTTCATAGGTGAGAGGTCGTGGGAGGAAAGAATTTTGTCTGGGATGATTTTGTCCAGATTGTTTCAAAGTAGTGTAGAAAAATCTCACAAATGGTGGTGTGTACACCCAAATACGTACACATGTGCTTTGATCTCCACATTTGCGTAGCGAGATCAGGGCACCAATATTATTGCCGCTTGGTGTTTAGCACCCAGTCTTCAATAAGTGAGTTGCTCCTGTTTACAGTGTCTTGGCTGTTCCCTTCTTGGCCTAGCTTCATGTTCAATCCACTCTTGTGGTCAGAGGATGAGTTGTAGCATATTTGTTAGTTTTTTGCCAGCTGATTAGATCATGTTGGCGAAAATGAGGTAATTGTGAGTTCAGCTGTGGGCAAAAGGGAAGGAGAGTTGCTGTGTTTGCTGACTTTTTATAAGGAAGTTTCAGGAAGAAGTGTGATTTTGGTTGTGATGAAAACAGCCTGTGAGATACTAAACAAGCAGTTTAGATTCTACTTTTTTGGTCTAGATTGTGACTTATTCAAGACAGTTGTTCTTGTAATTTTTCAGGAATGTATTTGTCCTGAAAATTGTGGTTTTGTGTATGTCACAGCTAATTGCTGGAACTCAAAAGAAAGCAAATAATTAAAACTAACAGTAGCTTCCTGTGGAGCTTTGAGTAGCTGTGCGTGATCATATTCCCTTCTGGATCTGAAACTCAAATTGCTTAACAGGTAACACCCAGTTCTTGCACTGCAGTGGGCTTAGAGGGGCTGCTTTGAGCTCTCGTGGAGATGGTAGGTCAGCTCAGCTCTCTTCGGCCAGAGACGATTTGGCAAACTTTGCATCAGAAGATGATGGTCATTAAAAAGTGTTAATTTCCTGCAATACTGTCTGATGCTGCTGTGAGACCTAAGGCAAAATGAGACTATCAGCTGTCCACCTGCTGCACCCTGAGGTCCTATCTTTGCAAGTGTGTTTGGCTGCTTTTGTTGGAGGAGATAAGCCCCAAACCACTTTCATGTTTCTCATGAAACCATAGACTGTGTGGTGACAAACCTCCAGGTCTGGACATCAGTGAGGGGTTGTTGTGGTGCACGCTGAGACACGAGACCTCCTTTTAGCCTGTGTCGTTATTAGGCTTTTGTGAGCCACGCCAAGTTCATTTGGGAGCCGTGCATGGCTTTTGAGCAACAGACTGACCCTCCCTGCTCTATGGCCACGGATTCAAAATTGCTTCCTTGCGAGTGCCTGGCAGTCATTTGAGGCAGCTTTTCACTTTGCGGTAGGCATGGATAGAAGACGGGATGGCAAATGATCTAGCAAAGGGCCATGTAGTAAATGGATGCTTCGCTTCTGTTGCAAGTGGTGGTCGTGGTGGACTTAAAAGGTTGCATCGTGGATCTGTATAGGATGTCGGAAAATTGCCATGCTCAGAGTTGAAGCAAAACATAGACTGCTTAACATCAATAAAACAGGGGCCTTGAGGATCACCTCAAGCTTGGGATAAGAGAGAATTGACAGTAAAGTTGCTGGACTGGTAAGGAGTCGTCCCAAGTGAAGATGTCAGGTGAGGAACAATGGCAATGTCTGTACTCCAAGAACGAGAAGAAAAGCACCTGACGGCAACAGGCCTGTCAGTAGCATCTTTGATCTTAAAACAGATAGAGAGGAAAGATTTGTTGAGGATGTGAAGTTTAATGGGGTAAAATGAAACATGGTTTTACTGGCACAAATGTCAGGTCTAATATCTGGTGCAGCAGTGGAGTTGTTGAGTAAAAGAGGTGCAGCTTACCTAGCTGGATTGAAGGAAGGCATTTGATAGTGTCTTGCAAGAAATTATTCCAGGCTTGGAAAATTGAGACTAATGTACAGTTTCAGGCAGACAAATGTTTTAGCTAGATAGCAGGCAGTGTTGAAAAGGTGTCATGGATGGAGGGAGCTGTTGGTTGTGGTCCGTGGTGTCTGCTCTTGTCTCCAGTCCTGGGCTTCACACTGTAGCTGATTTTAGTTGTCTTGCTTGAAGATAAACCTACTTAACTATGGTTTTTGGCCAATCAAGTTGGGTGGGGTTATTGCTCATAATGAGATCAGGTCCTGCTACAGGAGGGAGTGAGATATGGGCCTTCAGCCATAAGTCAAAAGATCACTTTGGCATAACAAGTTACTGCCTGCCAGGTGAGAGCTGTAGACAAAGGCACAAAGCTGCACGTGCCTTTGTCTAAGAAAAGACAAAGAGAGAGCTGGGAAAGGGCGTGTTTTCATTTACTGTGGTTCGGCTGATAGATGGTGACTTGTAACTTTGCAATAAAACAATTGCTTTTGGTCCAATGCCCTTATCTTTAGAGAACCTTGTGGGCTGAAGCAGTAAAAGTGGGATGAAGGTTGATTCTAGGTGCAAAGGCTAGTAACAAAAGGGAGTAGCGAACAAAAATTTTCTTCTATGCAGGTGGCTGCAGGAAGGAGAGAGCTGGTTGTATTGGTTGATGCAAGGACATTTCTGTGTTCCTGATGGGCTTGATTATGAAAAAGCTGTGGTGGTGCAAAGAAGAATAGGGAGAATGCTGGAGATAATGTCAAAGCCATGTCAGTGGGACCTTCTGCCGCATGTTGCTTGTCTGCTGGTCGCATTTGCCGGTGAGCTGAGCTAAACGAGTGTAGAGGAGAGAGGTTCTGCCACTTGAGGTCCTTTACCCAAGCCTGGATGGGGGGATTAAAAGCATTTGGCTTTTTTTATCCTAGAAATATGAAAAATTAGAGAGACTGTTTTGTTTCTGATAAACATCAGGGTGGAAAAGTTGTTTGCGTTAAAGGACAAGGCTGAGATGGGACCAAAGCCATAAATGATCTACAGATGCCTTGACAGTATCCTTGATCTTGTCTGTTCTCTTCCAGCAGATCGTTGATTGGGCTTTTTATTTTTTTCTTTTTCTCCTGTGGCTCTTGGCCAGAAGTAGTGAAGGTTTCAAATATATTGTGGACTGTTAAAACATGGTGTGTAAAGCAGGAA